TGGGCGAGGCTGTTAATGCTGGTTGAAAGCCCATGAATTACTGAGCCGGGTGGAATCGATTTTAAATTGCTGAGAAGTGGGCGATTTTGTTTTCATCTTATCGCATACTGTTAGAATACATGATGATCTCGGTCGAATGGACAAAATGCTACGGCAGTTGTCGATGAAAGGATGTGTTCTTTGCTTTGTTGATAAAGCTAGTGCATCAGTTGAGCGACATGTCGGATAAGTTAAATTGCTGTTTAGGTGACCCCGGAAGAAATGAGTTATATATGTAGTGCAGCAGATGGACAGATGCAATGTCAGGCCGAAGAGCCCGGGCAAAACTGCACCGGACTTGTGAGTGCATCTTAGTAACACTACTAACACTTCTGATCTTCACAATGAGTGTTAGATGTAGTTACCTTTTTGTGCAGCGCTAAAATTTTTTACCGTTACAAATTCGGTTATTGGTTTGAGTATTTTTTTCAAGTATTGCTTTGAGTGACTGAGTAGGTCCATATATTTGGCAAGCAATAATTCTGCAGTTTGCAGTACGCTCTGCGTTCGAATGCAAAGGTTTCTGGAATGTGGCATCTCAGAAACAGATTACAGACTAGTATCAATTCTCTTATATAGTTTGTGATATTTACAAAAGATATTTTAGACACAAACGCATCAACAGGTTGCCGGATATCCACGCCAGTTTTATCAAGGAGATCAGTCTGTGGTACGTAATCATTTTTTCACTAAAGGTATATTGGTTTAGGTAGTTGCTTAATGTCCTTTTGTGCTTGAGAAGTTAAGTTACACGTACGTTTTTTCATCTCCGTTTTGGACACATCGCAGCCGCTGCATCATGGAACATTGTGTTCCGCTTTCCTCCTGATATCCGAGCTAAAATTTCGAGGATTTAGAACCCGGTGTACACGAGACCGAAAATCACAAAGCTAAGTTTCAGGTCTTTCTGCGTGATGCATTTAATATGCCAACTTTTGAGAACATTACTATAATTCAGATGTGCATTACACGCTTGCGCAGACGCAATGTGCTGTGAGATTCTACGCTGAGGACAGCTTGTCACGGAAATGCATGATCGGGC